GGAGGCGGCACAGAGCTGGCAGGCCTCAATCTGCACGTCAATAGCACCCTCCGCGGGAATACAACAACAGTTTAGCAGGCTGGCCAGTTTGGAGCCAGAGATCTGCGGGGGCACTGGGCAGTGATGACAGGGGAGGAGGGTGGAGGTGGAGTTGGAGAGGATAAAAGGCCTTAAATGCCTTTTTCAACCCGCAAACAGAAGCAAAAGAAAGCGAAACTTTGAGTTCCCATAGCGTAATGTGGAGAGTATATGGGGCATAAAAATATTGCTCTCAGGACTAGGATTTGACCTATTGGTCACAGTGCACTATGGCTGTGGCTATCATGGGGTCAGTACTCTGGCTCCTGGAGGCTCAGCTCCTGATGTCAACTACTGTGCTGGACGACAGGCCCACAGGGTCTAGCCCTAGAAGTTGACTACTTTCCAGGCAGAGTGGAGTCCAAACCTCCAGCCCATTTGACTAAGAAACTGCTCCCAATTCATGGGTTGAAGGCTGGTTCAAGGCAGGGTCCAGAGCTTCTGGAGGTCACCCCCCAGCACTGAATTCTCTTGCCTACTCTAGCATTCTTCTTAGTTTCTTTCTTTTTTTCTCTTTACTTTTTCTTTTCTTTCTTTCTTTTATTTTTTTTTTAATTTTTTATTTTTTTGGTAGCAGGGGAGTGGGGGTCTTTGGCTTTGCTTAAGTCTTCTGGTGGGAGAATTGCCCCTCTGTGGGTACCTCCCTCCTCCTGCCTTCCTTCCACCTGTTAGAAAGTGCTTAGATTTCCAACAGCTTCCACCCACATGCAGGATGCACTGTGGAACCTGGGAGGCCTGGATATTTTTTAAAAACAGGCTAAGATGAGTCTGAGGTCTTTGAGGGGAGACCAACTGTTGTTGAAGAGTTTGCAGTATTTAAACTGGAGAAAGACAAACTTTTTTGGAGGATAAGTAGGAAAGCTCAGCCAGAGGAAATACTCTGTATTTGGAATTACCACACTAGGTCTTTTTCTTTTCCTTTCTCACTTTAAAAAAATAGAATAAACAGAAGTGTGTTGAATAAAACAGAAGTGTGTTGGTGGGAAACCCTGATGGAGCGAGCAAGCCCCTGTATGGAGCTGGAGACACTGACCTGGCCAACTTGGACAGGCGGTGGCCTTCTGGCTTCCAGGTTCCTTGTCAGCCGGATGGGCACTGTGCTGCCAGTGAGCCCCATATTAGTATCATCAAATCATAAAGGAACTCTTCCTTCTTTAATTAAAAAGGGGAAACTTGGGAAAACTGGAGCCGATTAGCACAGAAAAGAGTTGGTTCCCAATGATTTATTTTGATGCACAAGTGACAAGATACCTAGATTTGCAGGCGCACTGGGGTCTGAATGTCAGCTCAATTCCAGAAGCGGCTGAGTGTCTCCATAGAAGTTCTGTATTCTTGTTCACTTCGAACCCAAGAAACCTTAGCCCGAACACCAAGATGAATTTTCAGTTGGCCTCAGCTTCATACAATCGGAGGAAAGTCACTTAACCCCCGGAGCTGTCGAGTAACCTCTTCAGGGTACAACTTTTATTTTACACGCGGCAATTAAGAGATCGCAAATCCCAGCCCAGCGACTGTAGCCGTTTGGCATCATCTCCAACCTAGGGGAAAGCATAAAGCCAATAAAACTCCCAAGGTGCTGCGGCCCGAGGGGGTAACTGCCTTGAGTCCAGGCGATCTCTCCTTGGGCAAAAATCCTGGAGTGACTTCGCTGGTCTTGATTTGGTGGTTATTTTAATTGCGAAAGGGATAATGATTTCTAATAAAATTGGATGGTGCTGAAAGGGCAGCGGGGATTGAGGTGTTGGCCTGGGTGGGGGTGGAGGGTACTACAAGCCGGTCTTCAGGCCGGGTCACTCTGACCCTCGGTAGTTCGGAGCTTTATGGAAGGTGTTTTTGGCTAGGAGAAAGCAAGCCAAGAGAGAGAGAGAGAGAGAGAAGGAAATGGGATGAAATTGGTCTGGGGAAGGGGCCTTTGGGGCAGGGGAGCGAGGTGGAATCGGGCAAGATTTTCTCGCTAGCATGCAGGCGTGCACTCTAAGAGCAAGTTCGCAGCTTGCAAAGGCCTTTATACTTGGGTCGGAGCGGCCGGCGGCAGATTGTGGTACTGGCGAGCAATTGGACTATTGTTGATATGCTAATGAGGCGATTAGGCTGTTGGTAAAGAGCTGGAAAAGGGAAAAGTTTCTACCATTAGAGGGAGATCTCCGAGCGCACACGGGAGCTCTTTCCCTTCTCTCCTCCTCCTCCTCCTCTCCTCCTCCTCCTCCTCCTCCTCTCCCTTCTCCTTCTGGCCCTCCTCCTCCTCCTCCGCGCCCTCCTCCTCCTCCTCGCCCTCCTCCTCCTCGCCCTCCTCCTCCTCCTCCTGTGCTCACCGCCGGCAGCCGGCAGCCGGCACTTTGCGCTTACCCAGAGTAGCTCCACTTGGGTGCGAGACGGAGAGGGGCAAATCCATTCACAGCGATCCATGAAAATGCTTTGGAAACTGACGGATAATATCAAGTACGAGGACTGCGAGGTAAGCGCGGTGCTGGCCCACTCATCCCGGCGGCCATCGACTCGGGGCTCGATCCTGCCTCTCCTCTTCCTTTCCTTGCAGCCAGCTGCGACATGCGGGTGGGACAAACTTTCACCAGTGCAGCGCCGGCCCCTCTGATTCTCCCCTAAGACCGCGGAGAAGCTGGGGAAGGAGAGTGTAGACGCTCCTTTCTTTCATTTCCTCATTCAAAGCTGTTGTCCCACTTTTCCCCTTCTCTGACCACTTTGAGCTGTGCCTGAGTGGGACGAGCATGTTTTTTTTTTTTTTTTTTAAACAATCGCTGGCAACTGGGCACGTGCTGTGTATTCCGCGTGTAGCTTCATCGAGATTCCGGGGACCCAAATCACCAGGAAGAGAAAGGAAAAAGAAAACCCTTTCTCTCTTCAAGTTCCTCTCTGATATTTAATATTAATTCTTTTATTTGTGCATCCAGTTTCTTCTTTCTTCCTCTTTTTGGACTTGGAGAAGGGACCTCACACTTCGTTCTGAGATGAGTTGCACCTCCCTGTTAGTGGGTTCAGCTTGGGAGCTGTTGGGCTCACTTCTGATTCTCCTGTGTTTCAAAAAGTTCTGAGCAGCTTCTCCCGTTGAGCTATTGGGTGAATACACCCCGTGGTGGTGGCGGTGCTGGGAATGCGGCTGCTTGGAGCGCTGTGGCCTCTGGGTCCGAGAGCAACCACCCCAGCAGCGGCTGGCGTTCAGCTGAGCGATCGTGGGAATCCTGGCGCGTCTGTGGGCCGCCCCAGGTGCGGGGAGCCCGCCGGGCCCACAGAGCGCGCCCTTTGGAAAGCATCTTAAAACCTAGGGCTCCAGAGCTTCTTGGGGGCAGCCAGGGAGGCCGGAGAGCGAATGATCCATCTGAGGGAGGCTCTGGGAGTCAGCCTCACCCTCCCTTTCCAAACCCCATTAAATGAACGGATGAGTCCAGGGGAGAGAGTGGGCGTATGAGGCTCGAGGTCGTCCGAATAAATACCTGGCAGCCACAACTTTTGCTATTTCTTTCTCTTTTTTCGTTTGCCTTTTGGCATTTGGAGCTGGGAATGTCAGGCAGAGATGTCTGTGTACCCGCACGGAGGCGGGAGTCTTGCCTTCACTTGAAATCAGAAACTGAGTATATGCGAACGATGTGTTACCGACTCCCTCCTCCCTTTTCTTTCAGAATGCTATTTTACATCTTTCAGGCTTCCCCTTTTTGCCCCCCCCCATCTGGGTGGATGGGGCATGGGGTGACATCCCACGGGTACCAGCGCTTCTCTCGGGACTTCTGTCGCTTATGGGGAGGGACGCAGGGACCCCACGTCAGACAAGTTGCTTTGTTTTCGGGTGGGGTGGGGGCGTTTGGCGGACGGGTCGGGATGAAACAGAACCCCGTATCTTCTGCTAAGACAATCATTTTGTACTGATCTCAGTTCTGGCCCCGAGGCTGGGGCATTTTACTTTCGTGGAGGCCGAAACCCTGTTCTAGATGCGGGCTCCCTGGCAGCTCCGCGCGCAGAAGGGACCAGGACCAGGAGGGCGGGAGATGAACTTGCACCCCCAGAGGGACTAAGTGGGGGTGCGTGTGAATGAGGCCAAAAAGGATGAGAAAGGAGAGGGAGAGAAAAACAGCTAAACTCCAGGCTGTTTCAACAACTTTGACTGTGGGCTGGCGCTGGAGCGGGGATTTCGGGTTTCCGAGCCGGCCAGGGGCTGTCTGATTATGCCGGGGCTCTGCAGGGACACGCAGGAGGCAAGGTGCCGCTTGTTCTGACAACCCGGCGGGCAGACAGGCAGTGCGGGGAGAGCTAGCCGTGTCATCTCGGGCGGGAGTGGCTCAGCCAGTCGGACGGGTTTGTGCCGGGAGCCCGGAGCCCGTGCCAGCGGCGCCCGGGCTGGGCCGCCTCGTGTCTGTGCGCGCCCCGGGCCGAGGCCCGGGGAGAGTAGAGCGAAGAGCGACAGCGGCCGCGAGCACACGGTCCGGTGCCGGTGTCCGAAGGGAAGCTCGAGAGGAGGCCGAGGAGAGGGCCCATGAAGCGGACGGGCGGGTCTCCGTCCGGGCTTTGGGCCGTGGAGGAGCCGCGCGGCAGCGGGCAGTCGAGTCCCGAGTCCCAGACTCCGCTGCGGAGCAGAGGAGCCCGTGGCCGGAGAGCGCCGGGCAGCGCCTCCGGAGCGGAGAGCCCGATGAACGCCCGGACGCGGTCCCCGGCAGCTCCTGCCCGCTACCCGCGACCCCCGCTACAACCCGAGGTCTGCCCCAGCCTTTTAGGTCTGATTGTCCTCGCTGGCTTCCTCTCCCCCTCCCCCTCCCCCACGGCCTCCCCCTCCGCGAGCTCCGGCTCAGCCCCCTCCTCCTCCTCCTCCTCCCTCCCTCTTTCCCTCCCTTCCTCCTCTCGGGCTCTCCCTCCTTTCCTCCCTCCCCTCTGCCCACTCCGCGCTCCTCCGGGTCGCCCACACTTTCTTTCTCACACACGCACGCAGACACATTCTCCCTCTCTGCGCTCCGCGCCTCGGTCTCCCTCTCTCCCTCTTTCTCTTTCACTTTTGCATGCCCTGCAACCTTTTAAAATGTTGCCCCTTCCCTGTGATTCGCCAGACGCCGCGCCGCGGCCCCCCGCGCGCTCGCCCGCTCCCTCTCTCGCCCGCTTTTTGTCTCTCGCGCTCTCTGTCCCCACCTCCGATTTGCTACACTGAGGCTCCCGTCAATGGACTGCAYTGAGAGCCGGCTCCGGCGCGAGTGGCCTCCCCGCTTCACGCTCGATCTCCAGGCATTCTTCCCTTATTGAGTGTTCGTGTAATATTAATAGTCATGAATCGCTGCTATTAGGAGGCTCCAGGAACGCTGCCCAGCGCGGGTATTAGAAGCTCAAGGGAAGCCGCCGCTAAGAAAAGAGGGGAGACACGGATTAAGGGACACACACACACACACACACACACTCATACACACTTTTTCCTTTTTGGGGGGTTCTTCATTTTTTTAAAGAACTTTGTATCGTAACTGATCACGGCAGGATAGAGACCGTGGGTTCGACCAGCTGAAGGAGCCGCGCGAATCGGTGGTTCAAGTTCTCATGGATCCGAGCGGGGCTCCGGCGCTCGGGGGAGCGTCCGCGCCGTAACTGGAGTCTTTGGGTGGCGCGGGGCTCTCGGCGCCTTTTGTGTGGGGCGCGCTCGGGCGGCTGGGCAGCCGGGTGCTCCGGGCTTGCTTTTTTTTTTTTTTTTTTCCACCCTGACTCGTTACCCCAGACTCTTCGCAGATGTTAGTTCACAGTTTTTCAGCTATGGTGAGTCCCACCCCCMCCCCCATCCCTGTCTCCTTAGGAATTCTGTTCTGGAAACCTGGTGCCGCCAAGCTGCCCGAGACCTCGGGTTGCCTGCCCAGGTTTCTTTCATGATACCTTCTTCCATTTGCATTTCCCTCTCTCCTTTCTCTCGCCCCTTTCCATCCCTAAATCGAATGCCTTGCTACCCACCCCCGCCCCCGCTCGACCTCTCCGCGCACTCGGACCTACCCCGCAGCTGCTTCCCAAGGCGTGTTTCTCGCCCAGTTCATCTTTATTTCCTGGCGTCTTCATTTGTTCCTGAGATGTTCTCAACATTTGATGCTTAATCTGTCTGCAGGAAAATCGCAGCCCGGTGTGCCCCCTACCCCCAGGGTCTGCAGCTGAACCTCCGGGGGTTCGCATTCCCTAGAACCAACTCTGCCTGTTTTGCAAGCGAATTGCAATAGAGGAACATAAACTCAGGCGTTTCTTTTGCCCTTTGGGGCTGGAGTGCAAGGGGCGGGGGCCTCCGCCCCGGGGTGCACCTCTCGCTTTTCAACCAAATAAGGCTGAATCTTCCTATTTTAAACCTTGACTTGACGCCCCCCTCTCTCCATTTCTACCATAAATCGACCTTGTCCAGAAAAAGCTCCTAACTGAGAAAGCGGAAAAGACAGATCCCTGATCCTGCACTTAAAACCTTCTTTAAGCTGGTAATTTAAACGTGTGCTTTCGTTACAGCCCCTGTGCGAAACATGTTTCTATTTAAATAGTCATGAAATGGTAATAGTCTTTGAAGGTTTATGATTTTTTCCCCTCCAAATAAATGGAAGAGAGTAAACAATAACTCAGTGGCAGGCAGGTTCAAATTCGGGGAACGAGAAAAGGCCGCTTCTGCTGTTTAATATTTAGTAGGAATTTTAATTTTGCTTAAGGGAGGTTTCACGCTGCAATTGAAGGGGCTATATTCCAAGAGACCCTTTTCTATCTTCCCCCCCCTTTTGAAAGAAACGCCTGAGGACAGTCTCTTGTGCCCTGTAGGTACAGGGTCTAATTCTTTTGCGGTATTTCCCCCCCCCCTCCAAGGGCCTGTTTTACTTCTCGGGTATTTTCCGAAATGAACAGAGTAGAGCTGATATTTTTCCCGGTGGCTTGCCGAGGGGAACGGGAGATTTCCTAACTAGACTTGTGCATTTAGTGGAGACCGTTGTAACTCGACGCCTGATTTCTTCTTCTTTCCTTTCCCTCTCTCTTTCTTCTAGGACCGTCACGACGGCACCAGCAACGGGACGGCGCGGTTGCCCCAGCTGGGCACTGTAGGTCAATCTCCCTACACGAGCGCCCCGCCGCTGTCCCACACCCCCAATGCCGACTTCCAGCCCCCTTACTTCCCCCCGCCCTACCAGCCTATCTACCCCCAGTCGCAAGATCCTTACTCCCACGTCAACGACCCCTACAGCCTGAACCCCCTGCACGCCCAGCCGCAGCCGCAGCACCCGGGCTGGCCCGGCCAGAGGCAGAGCCAGGAGTCTGGGCTCCTGCACACGCACCGGGGGCTGCCCCACCAGCTGTCGGGCCTGGATCCTCGCAGGGACTACCGGCGGCACGAGGACCTCCTGCACGGCCCGCACGGGCTTGGCTCGGGACTCGGAGACCTCCCGATCCACTCCTTACCTCACGCCATCGAGGACGTCCCGGTAAGAGGCCGCGCGGGAGGGGACGCTTCCCTTCTCACCTACCCTCAAGAGAAGATTCCGGGAACACAGGGCCACCGGCCCGGGTTTTCCTCGATGACATTTCCTTTATCAAATATTTTTTGGGAGGAGGGGGGTGCTTTGAGAAGCGACGTAAAACAGCGAATTTAAAAAATTAAAAGCAATTGCGAACTGCCCCCAGAACAATGGTTCCCGGAGCTGCCTCAAACAATGCCTCCATTACCCTGTCCACCAACACAGAAATAAATCAGACCAACGTCACCATTGACACTGTCTTCCCCTCTCGACCACAGTAAACTGTTTGGATGGTGAGAAGATCTAATTTCCACCGCTGAGTGTGGCATGGGGATTTCTCACTGTCCTGGGAAAGCTGTTAAATTTAACCAAAAGAACCTATCAAAGGCCCTCACAAGGTAAAAGAGAAATATGGAAGACAGACTATGAAGATCATTTTAGCCGGATTTTCTAAGCACTAGCGAAACCCAAAAGTTACGTGTTCCCTATTCTGATTAAAGAAAAGTAAGTAGCAAATCCAAGTAGAGAGACATTAAAATGCAGGCTTCTCTTCCTAGGGGTGCTAAGTGGTGACCTCATAAATCATTAGCTAGGTTCCCAACGCCTATCAGAACCTGCTACACCCCATATTAAATTAAATGTTTTGAGACTATTGGGTAATACGTTATTTAAGTTCTAATTCACTTATCAATAAATGCAGTTTAAAATGATTCCTAAATAAGCATGGCATTATCACATTTACTATTTACCATGCAAACCAGCCTATTGATAATTTGAAAATACTTTTTGAAATTAAATTTAAACCAGCATCTCTGCTTCAACTCCATGTATTTATGGTTTCCTCACATCCTTCCCGAAATGGAATTAGAGCAGGTCAATAATTTTATTAAAGCTGTAAAGGGTTCTGTTAAAGCTGGTTTTCTTTGGAGAGGAAATGTATCTGGATGTGATTTTTGCTAAAATGCTATTTCAAATTACTGCATCAAATACAGCAGCAGTATGTCCGTTGACAGTTTAATGATTACTGCATTAGATTGTAAGGAAAATGGTCATATGAACTTACCTGCTTGCTTGGAAGATTTAAAACATTATTTAAGTTGTATAGGAAAATAGAAAATTTATTACAACTCTCATTTGGCCCAGTCAATCACAAATTTGTTGGTTATGTTTAGCAGCCTTGCATGGAAAACAAGAAAGTGGGCACTTGATTCAGTGTAATGGTTAATGAGAATTGTGTGTGTTCAGATTTACATGTTTTTGGGAGCAAATATTTAATGTGCATTTTGGGAGAAGTAAAATAAAAGGGACAATAACTTATGAAAGAGCAATTTTAAAAAGAATTGGAAGTTGTAATCCTTTTAGTTCCTTTTCTCAGTTTATGAATCCTTTTCCTTGCCTGTTCTTTGGCATTATTGAAAGCACAAAATAATGTTGTAAGCTTTTGGAGCTACTGTGAATTAGAATTGCTCTACTTTGCAAAAATTTCAGGTGGTTGGTAAAATTTCTTAATACCTGTATGATCACTCTTTGTGATGAAATTGGTCAGTGGGAGAAATTAACCAAAAGATCAAATAAAAGCAAGGAAACCCAATTGCTGCTCTTCCCTCTCCCTCCCCCACCTTTTAAGAAAAAAAAATTTTTTCAAAGGAATTTGGGTCAGGAAAAGGGTTGTTTTCAATTTTCCCACTGCTGCAACAGTTAACCTTTAATAAGAATGACTGCTAAATATTTAAGAAAATCCAATCGATGGTGAAAATTATTTAATCATTAATATCTCAGTGGGGTTTTAAACTTAACAGTCTTCCCTGTATGGACAAGGTCTAGAAATAACACAAATAAAAGTATTATGCCACACTACATTTACTTTATGGGTTTAGGGTGCATGCATAAAGGGATCATATTTCCCCATATAGTTAAAACACAAGAACTGCAGCAGTAGTCATTTCTGAACATTTCTCAATTTAATTATACTTAAATCCAGAAGCACTTTAGGCAAGTTACAAATGAGAGCATTGAGTATAATAAAACCTGTAATAAAGCAACTTAGTACCATCCACCCGGAATCATTGCGATCAGGCACAATTAACAGGAGCATAAATCCAAGACAGAATGGAAAATGTTCGAATCAGTATTATTGTTGGACAAAGACTAGAGAAGGAAGTAATAGTTTTTTAAATGGTAATGCCTGTGTTTGGTAACGATTGCGAAATCTTCTATCTCAGCAGCCCTGGTGCTAATTTGTAAACACAGCCAGACATTATATTGCCTGTCAGTTTCTGCATTAGAAAACATGATTTCATTTTACTTTCTAATCACGTTTTGACTGGAGCACACACACATATACCCATCCATCTGTAGAAGAAAAAAAAAAAAAAAGAAAGAAAAGAGAAAAAACCCTGCACTGACAAGTCTGCTGCTGGACATCAGGAAAGCAACTCCAAAGATTTTTTTCATTTTTGATAATTTTCATATTGCTGTCACATTCAGTTTAGGCAGTAGCCTTAATTTTTTTTTATTTCTAGTTTTCCATAAGTGAAGGTGTACTGTGTTTGCTCTTTATTACATTACCTAAAGGGTTTCCAACACTCTCCTGTTCTATTGTGTTTCTCTCGCTTTTGCTACCTGAACACTGGAATCACTGAAGTCCGAAGCCGCTGAGGCGCCAAACTAAAGCTAGGTGCATTTCTAAAGGTTGAACTAACTGTGAGAAAGATTAGGCACTCCAAAACTTGATTTAATTTCTAAAGAAAGTTTTCCTCCCAACCCCACCCCCCTCAAACATGGATTATTTGCTGGGGGAGGAGAAATTGGCTGGGGGCGTGCAGTGAAACCTCTTGAGTTGCAAAGCCCCAAATTCCAATAAGCCAAGATGAGATGTTTATATATAAATGTCATTATATGGGAGGGGGATTTTCTATTCTACACCTTCCCCTCCCCCCATCTTGCAGGGAATATTCATTTCCTTTTGTTTTGATTATACACTTACATCCATGTGTATCCTTTTGTTGCAGCATGTAGAAGACCCGGGTATTAACATCCCAGATCAAACTGTAATTAAGAAAGGTAAGCCATTTCCTTCTGCATTCCAAGCATGTCCTTACAGGCAGAGTGCTATTTAAGAGAACTTGCAGAACTGTATTTATTTTTTTCAAATAGGATTTCCTAAAGGCTCAGAATTAGCAAATAGCCATAGAAGAGCTGTGCTTAAATAATCGGCTTTCAGTATCTTGGTAATGGCAACAGGCTAGCTTTTTTTCTGATTCATGATTTGACCATTTAATTTAGTTTAATGATATTTGGACAAACACATGAAATGTGCAATAGTTGAACTGATTTGGAAGCAGCATTTCAATTTTGAAAGCATTTAATAGTTTAGTTAATTCATTCTGTGGAGTTAAGGCCATGAGTGTTAAGAAGTAAGTGTACCATGCTAAAATAGTACAATTTCATGTAAATATAAGGACAGATGATAAATGCACTGCTTAGCGGGGGTGGGGAGGGTGGGGGGTGGAGTTCATGTTCTTCAATTTAATTTCTTATTTGCTGTTTAAGGGTTTTAAAACTTTTTGTGAATTAGGCTAACAAAAAAGTTAGCTTTTGCTTAAAATTATCATTTTGAAGATGTCAGGACTGTTCGTGTATTTGCTCAGAGCAAAGATTGTTAGTGTCAAGTGATTTGGATGAATTTGTAATTTGAATTGTGTTTAGTGAGTAGAAATAAAGTTTCCTCCATTAAATGCTATTCACTTTTGGTAGCAGCTTTTTTTTTTTTTTTGGTTATGGTGGCAATGTTACATTTCAGGATTCTAGGCACCACCAGAGGACGATGCTATATAAAACTGTTCTCATTTCTAACCCCAATCAGTATATTGTTAGCTAGTTTAAAGTTTCATTTTTGCATCTGTGAAGTCTTTGTCACGTCAAATTAGATGTGCAAGGGATAAATCTTAAGAGATGCTCTTTCCAAGTCGACATGATAATTGGCTCTTTTATTAGTAATCTCTCAAGAGTTCGTTTAACTCCTATTGTCTCTATTAGCCTCCCCAGAGCTATTAATGTCACAAGTGATCTATCCAAAACCTAGAGCCCCCCACCTCCCCATACGGCTAGAATATCCCCATTAAAGAACGCATGAGGAGCACTGTGATGACAGCATGTGCATACTATTATATGTCTCCATGTGGAAATTTAAAATACAAATGCACTAAACTTAAAATGGTTGTGAATGCATCTAAACTATATTGAGAAATGTAACCATTAAGTATACTTTTTGTTGGTCTTTTATTTTTTTCTAACAAAGGTAGGTGCAACAATGAAGAGCTTATGGTTTTAACTAGGCAGAACACTCTACATCCTACCCTCCTCCCAATGAAGGTGCTTAAGGCTTAAGCCAAGAGGGCCATTAAGTATTTACTCAACAAAAGGACCCATTGCTACTATTTTACAGTGGGCCTGTTTTTCACCCCCACCCCACCCCTAGTTCAAAACCGGGCTTGAAATGGATCTCCAAAACCTTTTTTTTTTTTTTTTGAAATGGAATATAAGAAAGGAACCATTTATCAGAAGGATGAGACGAGAATGCACCTCTTCTAGCTTGGTGCCTTATCTGAAATGCTCATTTAYTGGCTGCTTTAGCCATCTAAACTGTCGCCTGGTTTTAATAATAGGTTATCTTGAAGCTTTTTCTTCCCGACAGTAAATCCCTTGCCCTGCAAAAACTCCGAAGTACACATAACTCAGCCAGGGTTGGCAAATGTAACTTCGCCCCCTACCCCCCATTCCCGCTCTTGGGCACCTTGTCTGGGCCCACTCTGCTCGGATGCTTAGAGCCCAAGGGGTCGCAATTTCACCACCCATCTCTAGCCAGCACCCTTTAGGGGAAGGGAAAAGGGTCAGGCCAGACACAGAGGCCTGGTTGGCGCCTAGAAACCGAGGCTCGAATGGAGGAGGGATTAGGACAGGGAATAGGAAGGGAGTTTGAGRAAACGGGAAAAAGAGCTTCCGAATTTCCCAGCTGGACGGGAAGAAAGCGGGGTGAGCGGCACAAGTCTGGGAACCCGCCCCTGCCCGGGGCAAGAACCCGGGTCGGGCAAGATTTTAGCGGGGGACCCTCGACGCCCACACGCGGCCTCCCCATCTGTCTCCGCAGGCCCCGTGTCCCTGTCCAAGTCCAACAGCAACGCCGTCTCCGCCATCCCTATTAACAAGGACAACCTCTTCGGTGGCGTGGTGAACCCCAACGAAGTTTTCTGTTCAGTTCCGGGTCGACTCTCACTCCTCAGCTCCACCTCGAAGTACAAGGTCACAGTGGCGGAAGTGCAGCGGCGCCTCTCACCGCCCGAATGTCTAAACGCGTCGCTGCTGGGCGGAGTGCTCCGGAGGTGAGGCCCCGCGCCGCCCCGCCCGTCCCGCCCCGCGGCCCAGGAAGCCATGCGCCTGCGCCAGGGCGACGGCGGTGGCGCAACTGCGCTTTGCACCCGGGCCCTCCCTTCGCGGGAAAAGAAAGGGGCGGGGAGAAGAACGTAGAACCCAGGGGGTGGGAGCTGGGGGGCGGAGCGAAGCAGCCCGCGCCTGCGCTCTCCGCCTCGGTCCCGCGCTCTCGGGGCTTCTGGCGCGCGCCCTGGACTCCGCCGCGCGCTCGCGGGGTCCTGCGTGCTCCGGTGCGCGCACGCGCACCTCGCTCCGCTATGGGCTCAGTCCCGGCCGCCGCAGCCGCGGGGCGCCGTGCAGCCACCTATTCCCTTTTCGCGCACACCTGGCAAGCCCAGGGAAACTTCTCTCTCAGGCTCTTCGCTTTGCCCTACCACTGTGGAGAGACTTGTAAGGCTACCGAGTGACTTTTAGCTGTAGGAAGGGAAAGGTTTCGAGGGCGCACGCCACGCCCCCTGGTCGCTGTTACCTCCCATCAGACAGGGATCCCTGGTGCCAGAGGCATCTGCTGGTTCTGACTTACTGCAATGTGTGCCAGGCAGCGAGCAGGCCCGTTTCATATGCATGATGTGTAGTCGCTACCAAAGAATGCATACTTCGCAGATAAGCTTTTGTAAAGAGTCAGCGAAGTAAAGCACCTTCCCTCCAGCAGGTTTCTTCTTGCTGCTCGCTTCCTCCTAGATTTGTGAGTTGTGGGGTCCTGTGTTGATCTTACCTGCTTAGTAAGTTTATTACTCTCCTCTCCCTTCTCCTCCTTAAATAAGACCAAGAAGTTTCGTTGTTTTGACCTTATTCATTTATTTATCTATATGTGGACTCAAACAGATCTACCCTGGTGGGTATATCCCACTCAGATCCTCTCTAAGGGTGTTTGGGATGGTTCCAATAGCAGCGAATCTYATCTCTTCCTCTTTCCCAGTCACTTTGCTTTCCCTTTGTAATCTTTCACTGACACAATCTTTTCTCTGCCCTCTGCTTTTTCCTTCCCTTCCCCCATCTTCAATATTGGAGACTGTTTACCTAGGGGAGTATAATCTAATCCACACAATTAAAGAGCACTTGAGTAGGGAATAAAATCTGAAATTAATTAATTTGCTGTTTTATTTAAACAATTTATCTTAACCACTTTCTGATTATGGGAGTCTATTTAGACATCTATTTAGAACCGCCTCCATTGTCTCTGAAATCGGGGAAATATTTTAAGGCTGATATCAGCCTTTGACATTTCCAGTTAGGCTGGTGACATGGCATGTAAACAGTTGGTGAAATGAATTTCCCAYTGGGGCTAAAGCCAGAGCATGAAACGTGAGAGTGATGAAAACTTTGGTYACTCTGAACAACCTGACTGCAGATCTTGCAAAGACAATTTAAAGACCCCATTGGGATCTRTGTGATTGTAACAACAGGGAAAATATACAGTAATCAGTTGCACTCAAGAATGCCTCCAACTTTAGAGACCAGAGCTGTGTTTGTTTGTGGTTCTCTAGAAAGTTGGGAAATCAGAACCTTCCAACCTGCCACAAGAGTTGCAATAACAGCCAAACGCAGGAGGTGCTTTACAGTTTAACCAGCATTTATCTCCTATAATCTTTCTGTACCATTCCTTCCTAGGTTCCCTTCCTCTAAATGTCTCTGGGCCACACTTCTGAATTTTTGAGAGCAATTTTAGGAAGCTTTCAAAATGACTTTAATGTGATGCAGAGCAACCCAATGTGTTCTAAATCCCTATCTCACATATATTTATGAAACAGGGCGAAGTCTAAAAATGGAGGAAGATCTTTAAGAGAAAAACTGGACAAAATAGGATTAAATCTGCCAGCAGGGAGACGTAAAGCTGCCAACGTTACCCTGCTCACATCACTAGTGGAGGGTAAGCGAATCCAGTTGCTAACTAGAAGGGTCTGCCTCTCGGAAATGGATGATATTTAGTGGCCAGATGTTTGGGTATATTTTGTGTCAATTGGGCAGTTTCATCTTTCTAAAGAATGTAGCCGGAAGTGAACGAAATTCTTGCATGCCAAAAAACTATTTGCATATATTCCTATCCTTCTTCCTTTACTCCCTCTACTACTACAAAATTTCACCTTCCCAACCCATTTCTGACCTAAACAATGCACAAATTTAAGAACTGCACATTCTCCAAGTTCCTGTCTCCTTTAAAGAACTCAGCAGTAAATCACTTAAGTTATTCTGACATCTGCGTTTGAGAAATGCGTGACCATTACTTCCTGAATTAATTTGGGAATCTTTGACCTGCAGCCTGATTTAAGACCGTCCTGAAAGCTCAGGGTTATATGCCCTTGTAGGTTTTTGTTTTCCAAACATATGCTCCCTTATCTCTTGTTTAATTGTGCTTCTCTCCTGGAGGGGAAGAAAGCAATTTTAGACTTTGGATTGTTTGGATATAGAAAGAAAAAAAAGAAATACAAGATTGCATGAAAGTTTCTCATGGCAAGAAAGATTTTAAYACACACACACACCTTCCAGACTCCTCAAAACAAGCCAATGCTGTCCTAACTCCCAGCTCTAGATAAACTGTCATAGGGTCCCTTCTCATTCCTGCCCCCTCTAGAGTCCCACTTTTTTTTTTTGGAGGGGGGGTAATACTAAATTGGCTTAAGTTTGGGTTTTGGAATGAATGTAAAGCTCTCTTTTGTCTTCCTGTCTTGTGGTACATGCTCATAGGAAGAAAGAAAGCTGCTTAAATTATCAGGTAGATTTTTTTTTTACAAGTAACATTCACATTTAAAGGAGGCATTTTATCTTATTTACATCTTGTATTTGAGAAGACAGTTTGCAATTGAATCCAAGCTATAGCTTTGTAAATTACTTTTTAAATGTTTAAAACTATGTATTTGAGGAGGACTGCTATGATTTCCATCTGTTAGTGGTGCCAGAATGATAATAATATAACTGTTTAAAAAACCCACAATTGTTCAGAGCCAGAAACTCAACTACAGTAGCATTCTATGAAAATAATAGCAGTACATAGAGAAGCCACGATTCATACCCCCAAAGAATTACATGCCATGGAAATGGGGGTGGTGGCTCAGGGTGCAGCCTGAGAGCTGGTCTGGGTCTGGGGGTTGAGTGCTGTAGCAGGGAGGCTGTTTTTGGAGAACTGTTATTGTTTGTGATCCGCTCCATTTTATGGAAACAAGCTCTGTGGAGAGGGCTTTGATGCTCTAATTGGCGCATGCGTTCTTCCGGAGCTGGAGCTAATGGCAGGAAGCCCTGCAGTAAAAACCAACTGGTTCAGGAAATTAAAACCAAAGATTCGAAAATCAACAACACAGACAGACTCAGTGGAGTGACCCTCAAATCCTCCTGGTTAATCGGTTTGGATGAACAGATAATTATATGTGATCAAGTTAAAATGTAAACCCCCAGTTGTTCCCTTGCAGAAAAGCTCAAGGAGTAATTATGAATATCGTTTATGAAAGTGTTGATAGGTGTGAGGTTGGAATATAAGAACCATTTTAAAAGAGAAGTTGGGGAAGTGTTAGTCAAGACAGAGAATGGAACTGGAGATTGGAGATGGTGGAGGGATTCACTTTTTCAAATCATCTTGGCTTTTTAGGACAGATGTTATGTTTGTTCATCAGTGCACCTACCAGATCCTATAGAGAAGGAAGAAAATGACGGAAGTGAGAAAACAAGTAGTTTGTGTTTCCTTCAACTTTGGGGTTAAGAAAATAAGGGAGTGGAGAGAAAGTTTTGATCCCAATTTTTTTCATTCCCTTGCCCTCACCTCCCTCTTTTTACTCCTTGCCAGGAGAAGCCGTCCACCTAGCCAGGGACTTTGGGTACGTGTGCGAAACCGAATTTCCTGCCAAAGCAGTAGCTGAATTTCTCAACCGACAACATTCCGATCCCAATGAGCAAGTGACAAGAAAAAACATGCTCCTGGCTACAAAGTAAGGCATTTACCTCTGCAGGGTCTCTGTGTCTCATTGTTGAGAGAAAGAAAAATTGCTTTTGCACTCCATTTTCTCCTTTCCCTTTTGCATTCAGGGCTTTGTTGTTGTAAATACTGAAGTTACAATACAGCCTTAAAAACCCTCATCTATATGCAAAGAGAAACACAGGTGGGATTGTTAGTGTAGGGCCATATTTTCCCTCTCTTTCTTCTTATTTTAAAAAAATTTAAATGACTGTGTATGGGGGTGAGATACAGGAGAAATTTGAAGCTGAATGTGGATTTGTGACTGTTTGAGAAGGCTCAGAATCAAATCCTCAAAGGGGCTGTGGACTTGCCTATATCAGTTTTTCTCTCCCATCAATATGTTCTTCAAGGGCAAAGATTAAGCAGTGGCCTGCAAAATAGAGAAGTCAGAGCTGTCCTGCTTTCACACTAATCCTGAATTCCATTTCTTATCTCTCTTTCTCTTCCCTCCTCAGAAGTCAGTGTCTGTTTCTCTCTCTTCTCTCTCTCTCTCTCTCTCTCTCTCTCTCTCTCACACACACACACACACACACACACACACACACACACAAACACAAGTTTTAGCCTACAGGCAAGATGTCAAATAGGTTTCAAAATGGCCTAAGTTATATTCCCATTGGTGCCTGGGCTGAAAAGACTTCTCCAGGTGGTGTGTGAAAAGAAAATGACTGTTTTGATATGTTTTCTGGAAATTAAAAGGCTTGTTTGGAAGCCCTWAATTATCAAAAGTCGATGTCAGAGGAGGGCATGGAACCAGAGGGGAGAAGCTGAGCCTTGGGTGGGACAGGATTTCTGGCCTGGGGACATCAGCTGGCCTCAGTGAAGCCAGCCAGCCAATGCTGCTGGTTCTTCCTCCTTCCCACCCCTACTGCCCCCCAGGCCAGGTTGCCCTACCTCAGGAAGGCCCCTGCTAGTCCCTGCTTTCAGGTTCAGGAGCAGAACTTCTTTGTAGTGGCCTCCTCTGTCTACATTTGTAACTTTTCAAGACCATTTCTGAAATTCCAACTTTTCCTCTTCCCATGGCATCRTAAGCACACCCACATTTACAATTTCCCTAAAGAATTTTAATTTAAGGTGTATATGGGAATAGGGGGAATGGGAAACTGTTTCTTTTCCCTCCAAACTACCTTGAATCATCACCTAGTAACAGTTTATTTATTTATTTATTTATTTTTGGTGCCAACTTATTTTTTGAAAGCAAAATAATCCTGAGCAAAGTTTTGCCTCTCTGTCCAAATTCAACCTGCTTTGATTTGAAGGCAAATAGTGGAAACTTTATTCCACAGAATGCTGCTGAGTTCTCTCTAGAGAAACAAGGAAGAGGAGAGGGTCTGTAAAATTTTTGGAAAAGGAAGGCTGATGCCTGTATCCTATGGCTAGGAAGCCCAGAAGTATTTCTGACTTCTGGTGGAACTTCTCTTACTCTGTGTGTGACATGGCTTCCCACGTCTAGGATGTTTGGTATGGGAAAGGTGGGGATAGAAGTTTGTTGCATCTGAGGGTCGGTAGTGGGTAACAGAGGGGGATGCAGACGTTTTCACAGGCCCTGGGGCCCGTGCATTTAAGGAAGGAGAGGTGGTTTAGTGGGCGCTGGGAGTGACTGGTATCCCAGCCTGTGTCCTCGAGAACCCTGGGTCCTGCCAGGTGCTGTGGATGGGGGCGGGGGGGGGGGCACTGCAGGGAGAAAGGTCTGCTGTGTGCTGCTGGCGCTGCCCGAGGGGAGCCTCACCCTCTCTCCCCGCTCTGCTTGTGCTGCAGACAGATATGCAAAGAGTTCACCGACCTGCTGGCTCAGGACCGATCTCCCCTGGGGAACTCGCGGCCCAACCCCATCCTGGAGCCCGGCATCCAGAGCTGCTTGACTCACTTCAACCTCATCTCCCATGGCTTCGGCAGCCCGGCGGTGTGCGCCGCGGTCACCGCGCTGCAGAACTATCTCACCGAGGCCCTCAAGGCCATGGACAAAATGTACCTCAGCAACAACCCCAACAGCCACACGGACAACAGCGCCAAAAGCAGTGACAAAGAGGAGAAGCACAGAAAGTGAGGCTCTCCTCCCGCCCCGGCCCCGCCCGCCCGCCGCCTGCCTCACCAGCCCGCGCGCGCCCACCCACTCGGCCCCTCCCCCACCGGCAGGTGACAGCTCCGGACCGGCGACCCTCACTGCTGCTGCTACTGCTGCCGCTGCTGCCGCTGCCGCCGCCCTCCGGTGCCCCGGGTTCCCGGGACTGCTCACTCGACTGCCAGTGGGCAGCCGCTGTCCACTGGGCCCGGTGCCTCGACGTCCCCGTCGGACCACGCCCCCGCCCTCAAGTGGAGCCTAAGAGGACAGAACGGGCCGTGGAGCCAGCCAAGAAAAGTTCTGTCGAGTTGTGGACTTTTTTTTTTTTTTTTTAAACAACAACAGTAAATCAACAACAACTTAAAAAAAAAAAAAAACATTTAAAAAAACTTTTTTTTTTTCTAAAAAAAAGAACATAAAAAAGTTTAAAAAAATTATATTGAGCTTCATGGGACTGAATCACCACCTTCCCTTACACTCTTCAGTTCAGATTGTAGCCATACTTAAAAAAAAAAAGGCAAAGAGGATAATGACATTTTTATCAGTATTGTGAATAAACTTGAACACAAATACACGAAGTTCCATGTCATGTCTTCAGTTGTAGAAGTTTTCCCTCTTCAAGGTAAAGCGACCAACTTGAACTTTCTCCAGCAACACGATTCACAGTTATATAAGGGAATCAGTGTTCATGTCTCTGTATATATTTATTTATGTGTAATTTAATGGGATTTGTAAATATGGTGAGTCTGTTTTTTCGCCCTTTTTTTTTTTTTATTTATCTGGTGATCTCGTTTACCTCTTGTTTAGTGGGTTTTGAATCTTCCCTATTAGTTCCTCATGTGGTTCATGGTACTTATTTAGAAATTCAAGGTTTGGGGGATTCCCACCCCCCTCCCGGGATTCATGAGTTTAGCCCTGTTGTAGCATGTTAAAGATGACAATGAAACAGCTGAACAAATAAAAAGAAAAGTAAAATAAAATTTTATACATAATTAGTATTACATTTAGCTTTTCATTGAACTGAAAAAAAAAAGTGATTGGACCCTGGAAACAAAAATTTGAAACTTGAGTGGTTTGATAACCCTTCTATGTCTTGTGGGGAGGGAAAAAAAAAGTTTATTTTGTTCCACTGTCCTCCCTTAAAAGCATCATTTGAGCAATAAATGAGTATTGTCTTTACACCAAGGGTTAGGGATTTTTCCTCTTTCTCTCACTCTTTTTGTTCAGAGAACTCCAAACATTTGGGACCACCTGGTATTCTGTATTTTCACTGGCCATATTGGAAGCAGTTCTAGTTGTATTGTATTGAGTTGTGCTGGCAGTACTTTCCATGCCTGTCAATGTATCATAGTCCTTTGTTGCCCAGATAAATAAATATTTGATACGCTTTATGTCGATTTTTTTTTTATTCAGTGGCTGTCTTTACCCAGGCGTATTTTTGTTCTTGGCAGTATTTTTTATTCAGTATGGTTACAGTAATTGAGTTTAACTCTCCCTTGGCAATTGCTCCTTGCAATAAGCAGCTGAACCCATTGTTTCCCTCAAGTATAATAAAAACTTACTTTCAACTTGGAGTTCAGAGCAGGGTATCATTTAGATATTCCACTGAGTCTGTATTCAGACAAATGATACAATAAAACCCAATGTATTCTTTTGGATAAAAGATTGTTTGTACCGCTAAAGGAATGACATACTATCTTTTCCTTACCAGAAACATTAATTTTATTATTAAAAATAAAGTTTTATTTATTTATGTTGATCCTTTAGGTTTTCATTTGCGTTTTGGAAACCCAATCATTAAGGATGACAAGGATAATGGAGAACGGAAGAACAGAAGACCCCCCTCCCCCCCATAACTACTTTGGAATCTGTCTCTGAAGATAGCTGAAATTTAAATTATTAGTTCATTAGCAATAAGGAAATACCCACTTCAACCTGCATTTATTTGCTCCGGCTTCTCTGTGGCTAAGACATGTCAGAAACTTTAACCTGGCTCTACTTTTCTTGGGGGAGAGAAGGAACCGTGGTAGAAATAGACACAGAATACAGAGGGCAACTTGTCTCCATTTATTTTAATATTTTACCTGGAGATGAATTTACTCCTGGGCTGTTCTTAAGGAGCTCTGGAGGTAGCAGAGGGGAGTGAGAAATTATGTTGATTCCTGGAATCTTTTCTGCTTACCCCCTTAATGCCAGCCCACCCCCTTTCTATCACCACAGTGCTCCTCCTAGGACCTTTGAGAAATTCAAAATGGTCTCTGAGGTGGGGTGTAGAGGGTGGGGGAGGGCTGTGGAGCCTGCCTGTCAGACCACTCCTATCTGTCTTCCACAATAACAGGACTGTGTGCTGTGCTCTGAGAGGAGGGAGGACTTCCTGTACATCAAGATGGCGAAGTCAGAGCTTTGGAAATTCTTTGCTTTGGAAGTGAGGAGGTTTTTTTTAACAAGAGAAAAGGGTTGGTTAAGTGGAAGGTTTATAGGAAGGTCATCGAAAAAGTGTGTAGGTAAATATACCGGGGGAGGGGGACTTAACATCTGTTCATGTGGTTTGACATTCTGAAGGACCAAGAAAGCAAAGCATTAGAGAGTGTCCATTTTGCAGTCTTTTGCTTTCTAATCTCCTTATGGAAGGCAGGGTAAAATCAATCTCGACAAACAAACGAGTTGGTGGAGTCTAAATTCTATTTTCCAAAGCCAGAGAATTCATAACAATGGTGGGTTTTAAAAAAAAATTCAAATGGAAAGTGTATTCTCAGAACGCAAGGCAGCAATTGTTTTTTAAAGCGGTTATTTATTATTTCCTAGAGAGACTGGTTAACTGTGACGTAGATGTAACAAAATAATGAGGCGAATGAACCCTAACTGTACATACTCTTGACAGAAATGAAATGCACTCAGCATCGTAGCAGGTGAAGTGAAGCATTGTCTATCAGGGCTGTTTTTCTTGGCTGCATCTCAGATTGTGTGGGGGATCCTAACCTCAGGCACAATAGCATTCATAAACAGCCATACATTGCTGCTCTTTCTCCAACGACACATAAATACTCATTTTAAAACGAAAACAATCTTATTAAATACCATTCATTCATATCTGGATTTACAGATGCTTGTTATGTTGGAAAGCCTGAACTCAATATAATCCTTGCATCCTGAGAAAGATAGAAAGGAAATAGTGGGTTAGAACATTACAAGGTCATAATAAACAATGGTTTCCAAATGCAGGGAATTAGTTACTTTTATTCTGTAGTTGGATGATTTTAGGATCATAAATTTGTCCCTCTTTTTCTTTTTTTAATAAAATTTTAAAGAATATATACTCCATATACATGGAATATATACATGTATATAAATTAAAGGATATATATATATATATATATATATATATATATATATATATATAGTGGGATTAGGGAGGTTGTTACCAAAAATAATTTTTACTGGACTAACCAAAGCTAATGTGGATTTTGACTTTCTCTGGTGACCACTGTATACTTCCTAAAGCACTTGGTGATTACTTGACCAGCCAGGTGTTTATATATTAACAACAGTGATTCTCTTTGGATTCAATCAAATTAGGATACATAGTTGAATTATCAAGATACTCACTAGGCTATGCTAATCACCATACTCCATTTTTCTGGAAACACAATGTTCTTTTCAGCTTGATTATCATCCTTGCCCCTTCTATTCTCCAACACCCTTTAAAAACCACAATCCGACCCATTCCTCCCCAAAATCGAATATTAATATAATTTGTGTTCTTGATGGAACTACCATCAGCACTGCTATGCCCCGCAGCTGAAATAATATTTAAAATAGAAGGGATTTGACATTTGAGAAGTCAGTGGCTTGAAATACCCAGTTGTACTTAGCTAATTCAGTCCTTAACCTCTGGTTTCAAATAAATCAATTACAGTCGATTCTACTTCAGTTCAGAAGTGCACAGGGTTTTAGTTAATTGAATACATTTTATTCACTTGCTAGGAATATTCATTTATCAAAATTCTAAATTTAATGTACATTTCTTTATAACACAGGTTATGTTAGACTGCACAATCAGATCCAATTTGCCCCGATTTCCCCAAGTCCTGCTTCAAGTCCAAATTTTACCATTGTACAAAACAATATCTCCCCACTCTTTTTTTCAACTAGAAGTAAATTTTCAATAATTCTGTCAGGCAGGAGAGTTGATTTCCCCCACAAAGAAAAAAAAATTATATGTGGTCATCAGATTTGTGTTAAGTTTAAGTATGTTAAGAACAAAGCTGGATTCATTAAGTTTTTAAAAAGTATAGACCTGAAATTAAAAAAAAAAAAAACCCGCATGGTTTTCATTAGAGCTTAACTTTGTTGCAACTGACAGGTATGACAACATTTTGTGGTCTTAAAGTCACAGGACCCTTTTCTTAACCCTCTTTTCCTCTGTTTCTCACCCTTGGGCTCTTGGAGAAGTGCTTGAATAAATACCGAATTGTTAACTGAAAGCAGTACAGTTAAATGTGCCCAAATGAAGTTGTGCTTTAAACAGATATTGATGTATGCAGTGTTTTATATTTATTGTTTGTAGCATCCTGCTGGCAGCAGTTTACTGTTTGGAAAGGAAAGGGGTTAATTAGCGTCATTATCAATCACTAATGCTTGCCTAACGTGTCCAAAGAATAATCAAGTTAGAGGACGGCATGAAGCCAACAGCTGCTTCATCCCAGTTACAGATCTCCTAAGCCACTCAGTTATGGGGCGGAGGGGATGTGAAGTGGGGGAAGAATCTCGTCATCGCTTGGGTAAAAGGGCTATAAAAATCGGGTCAACTTGCTGGAGATCAGAGAGGCAGAAAGTACAACATAAATAACCAGTGTTTTCATCCTCTGAGTTACAGGTGCAGAGATGACAGCAGTCCTGAGACAAGAGTACTGAAATTTGCTCTTTAAATGTACTTCATTATTTAAAGTAGAGATTTGAAGAAACACATCTATGTTATCTATGTTTCCCTATTGCTTAGTGGTGGAAAAGGAAATCTAAAGTGATAAGGGGTGGGGGGAAAGGGGAGAGAGGGAGGGAGGAGGTGGGGTGGAGAGAGAGAGAGAGAGAAACACAACCCACACAATCCAAAGACAAGCCCAATTCAACTCCCAACACCAGCCAACCACCCCTTTCCAGAAAAATGAAAGCACAGAAAACAATAGGTAATACTGGTTCTCACACCTCTGCCTCCCCTCTTAGGAGGCTTAAGGATATTTGTCCTCATGAATTTCAATGAACAATTCTTTTCTATATTAAATTTGGTTTAATAACTAAGATGTACAAGTATGCCATCTCAGCTTCCTATTATTATTACTATTCCTAATGACTCTGTCCTCCCTGTGACCCAGCTCAAGCAAGAAACTGCATAAGTGTGACTCCCGTCAGGGGTTCCTTCTAGAAGCTTGTCTCTAAAAACATTCTTTGCTAAGTTCACCAAGAGTTAGAACCAAAGATCCCATTAATGATCCGGGATTAGTCAACTGTTTTTCTGAAGGTGTGAAGGAATTAGTCTGAGATAAATAATTTGTAAACCCTGAGCAACTCTATCATGCAAATGAGACCTTGATTTCCAACTGCAAAAGCAGCAGCCCAAATTTATCTTGGCCTGTATGAGCAGAGATGAGAAACAGGAGGATGTTAGGATGGAAAGCTATATAATTGATATATGTGAGAAGTTCCTGAGTTTAAAGTCTGCTGCTAATGATTGTAATTGGGGGTGGGGAAGAGATTGATTCTAGGCTGAATTTGGGCATCCAAATACATAAGACTGTGTTTCTATTTCATCTTTGATGCCGGAAGAGGACAGCAGAATTAACTAAGCTTTCACAGAGAGGTTTATTTCCAAACAAAACTGTAATGCCCAGTGTATTGTTGGAGAATCTATAGGGAAGGAAACCCAGGGAGATGATGTTTCCACAGAGGAGATTTTCAGTTCTCTCTGACTAAAAGTGAGTATGACCATCTTGGGGGAAGCTTTCTAGATTGACTTTGGATTTCCATAAGACATGCAGTTAGATGACGGGAATCTTTTCAACAGCAGGGCAGGATTTTTTTTTTTTTTTTTTAAAGTGGTCCAACTCAGTTTGCAGGTAAATTTCTTATGGAAGTAAAGATTGTGTCCTGGGGCTGGAGAAGGAACTCAGGGGGTAGACAGCTGGCCTAGCATGTGGTTCAACCCCCCAGCACAGAAATAAGTAAATAACCTCCCAAATCCTTTTAATTCTAGTAACAATCCTGAATGCAAGCCCTCCAAGTGAAAATGATGCAGCCTCTGAGGGAATCCATTCTGGCCTGAAGTTATAGGATATCATAACTCTCAAGTTTTACAAGTCAAAAAAATGTAGCTCCTATTTTCGTCTGGGAACAAATTTCTTCGACTTTTCTCTTGCCCATTGCCCTTTTAAAATCTAACCTATCCCGGGAATATGGGATATATATACTCTCTCTCTCTCTCTCTCTCTCTCTCTCTCTCTCTCTCTCTCTCTCTCTCTCTCTCTCACACACACACACACACACACACACACACATTCAAACTAAATTTAGCTAGTATAGTTTAAAACGATATCCCCCCTCCCTCAGGCACTAAGTTAATGCGAGGATCAATTTTCCCTTGGCTTTGTCAGCTACCATATCCTATCTCAGGATGTCCCTTGTCTTTTTAGGAGCCCCCATGTCTGAGCTGTGCCTTTGTCCACAGCATGGAACCTGTCCCCAGCGCCAGAGCTCGGCTCC